GCAGGGCCCAGGGCCCAGGAGGTGCGTGCCTGCCCCGGAGGAGCCCATGCCCAGGCACCTTCGCACGCGAACGAGCCGTTGACGTTCTCGCAGTACTGCTGGTCGCCGCACGGAGGCGTCTCGGCTGCGCACTCGTCCACATCTGGAAGGCAGCGGCACAGCCGTGAGGGGCCGAGCCCGGACCACCTTCGTGATGATGCAACCCGGGGCTGGGGCCGGACAGGGAGGTGGCCTCCCACGTGCAGGGGTGACAACCAGGGACATTAAGTGGTCCCAGGGGAGGGGCCGCTGCGAGGGACCAACGGCTACCACGTGAGCACTCTGTGCTTCCCCGTGGACTCGGATGAGCTCCAGGTCGGTGTCGGGGCCCCTCCCTCCCCACTGGAGGCGTCAGGTACAAGCCTGACGCCCCTAACTGAGGGGTGAAACCAAAGCTGACGTACGAGGGGAGGAGGGCACCCCGGCCTCGACCCGCCCCTCCTCCCACCTGCCTGCCGGCATCCGGACCTGGGGAAGAGCCCCTCGGCCACTGCCAGACCCTCCCCGGGGCCTTCTGCAGGGCCGGGTTTGGAGCCAGTGCTCCGGGGCCCGCTGCAGCTCAGAAAAAGGATACGGCTGAAGCGGGCAGTGGCTACCAGGCTGGCTGGGGAGGGGATGGGTGGGGAGAGCCAAGGCCCGGGGCCTCAGCTCTGGAGCGTGTGTGTCAGAAGGCGTGCCTCCTCTCTGTGGCTGTGAAGCACCTGTGTGTGGCTCTCCAGGCCAAAGGGAGGTCTGTGCCTCAGTTTCCCTGCCAGTGGCCGCACACCAGCAGGTCCTAGAGAAAGGAGAGGGAGGGAGGGAGGGAGGGGGGAGAGAAGTGGGAGGAAGGGGACGAGGGCTGGAGGAGAAGAGAAGGGGGAGGAGGAGAGGGGAGGAGCCACGGGGTAGGAGGGGGAGGAGGGGGAGGAGGAGAAAGAGGATGGAAAGGATGGAGGGAGAAGAAGAGAAAAAGAAGGGGAGAAAGGAGGAAGGAAAACAGGAGGAGGGGGAGGAGGGGG